CCCGGCTCCGAGCAGGACGCGTCAAAGGGAGTTCGGAGGTTCAGCAGCCCCCAGCGTCGGCTTCTCGGGTGACATGACGGCCTCTCTGGAGCGCGGGCCCGCCTCCGCCAAGCCTCCACCGCCGGTCCTTACAGCCCAGCCACCGGAAGATGCAACGCCGGGCGAGGGGCGCTCCCAGGATTTTGAGAAACAGCCTCATTCGCCTCGGGAGCACCTCGATCCCCCACCCGCACCCTTTGGCCAGATGATTTTAATCCTGGAATGCCGCGTTGGTGGGGCGGGGGGGACTGGGAGCTGGAGCGGGAGGAGAGAAACCGGCAGCGCGGAGTTGCCGGGTTGCAGCTGCGCGCCGTTGGCGGCGAGGGGTGGCGGTCCCTGCGGCTCTGCCGGGCTGGGGGAACGGGCTCCTGCGCCTCTGCCTCCCGGAGGATCGCATTCGCTCATCCTTACAAACCACACACACACACACTGCCGCTAGCGCCCCCCACGCCACAAGCAGGAATGCGGAGGTCAGAGCCACTGTCCACTTGAAAGCAGGAAAGCAGGGGCAGAAACACTGAGATGGGGGCGGAGGCTCTGGCCTCATCGGCGAGGTTCGCACCTTCCCAGGCTTCCTAGTTTCCCCAGAGCTAACAAGATCTGGCTTCTGACACTCCGCTCTCTGGGCTAGCGGTTCGAGCTGCAGCGGGGGGGCGGGGACGGATTCGGAAGGAGCACTAGAGAGAGAGCCCGCGCTCACTCCTGCCCTCCTCGCAAAGAACTGGCCAGCCCCACTCGCGTCCAGCCCACAACTAGGCGGCCGGGGCCGGGCAGCCAGACCCCAGGTCGCTCCAACTCCTGCGAGGGCGGGGAGGGGAGTGACAGCAGCAACCACTGCGCGCGCTGGCAAAAAGCACGGAGTCTCCGAATAGGCTAAACGGCGGGCGCGGAGGGGTGGAGGCAAGACGGGGCGGAGGAGGAGTTGCCCGAGCGGAGAGGAATGACGTCCTCCAGGGCCTTGGGCTCCGAGGGACCGAAGACTGGTGCGCTCGCCGGGCCCCGCGCACTAGCTCTGGGGTTCGCAGAGGCGCCGCGCTCGGCTCCCACGGCGGCTCCAGCACAGAGCGCAGGCGGTAGATCCCGGCCAGCTTAAACCGGGCGCAAGCCCTCTGTCCGCCTCAAAGCACCTCTGTGCTCGTCCCTAGTCTCCGGGTGCCCGTCCGAGAGTCCCTGCCGCTTCCGGGCGGACCCGGCCCGGCAGCCCCCGGTCGGGCCAGCCTCGCCCCTTCCTAGCTTTCTCCCCCGTCGACCTCGAGCCAAGGGCAGGCGGCCCGCACCCGCGCCCCTACCCACGGGGCTAGGCGGCGCTCCCGGCCTACGCCCGACTGCCAAGAAGGATGGGGCACTGGAAGGGAAAGGCGCTCACCTGGGTCACCGAAGCCTTCCTTTGGGGCCCCTCCCGGAGCTTGTTGGCAGCCCGCGGGCACAACCTTCCTTGGAGAAAAAAAGTAGCGCAAGGGCAGAGTGAGGTAGGGCTGCTCACAGGTCCCTCCGCAGGGGCTCTTTCTTGCGAATTCTCCGAGGTCCAATCTCGGGCTCTGCGGCGGGAAAGAGCTCCTGGAGGCTGGAAGGAGCCGCCAGACCCGGGCTCCTCCCGCAGCTGCGGTGGCGGCACCTCCAAGTTGCCACCTGCAGCGCGCTTCGGGCGCCTGTGACAGCCCGCGCCGCTCAGCCCTCGCCGGCCCGCCCTCCCGGTCCTCTCGTTGGCTGCGCCCGGCGCCCGGGCGGTCCCGGCGCTCTGCCCCGCCCTGAGCCCGCCTTCGAGCCGCGCGCTCGCAAAGTGTGGGTCTCCTTACAGGCCTCCCTGGGCTTTATAGCCAGCGGTCTCTGCAAGCAGGGAAAGAATTACACACACACACACAAAATTTTGTGTAGCTAGGGACTGGAGGGAAAGGAAAGGCTATGATAAATGTCCTCTCGTGTGCCTTAAGGGGACCTGGTAACTTGGTTTCTTTTGCTGGTATTAAATTTTTGCAATCTCTGAAAAGAGTTAACTTCACAGCGGCGGTCTGGGGATGTAGGCCAGAAAGTGGCTTGGGGGCTGTTTCATTTAAGCATCATCCAACTTCACATGAAGCGCCAAAATATGAAGAGCAGTGTAGACCCAGCTTGCACCCTTTTCTCACCCAGCCTGCACCCCTGCAGCGGCGGATCCTGCAGTTCCAGCGCCTGCAAAGCCATCCCCACTGGTGCCCACGGGGTTTCCAGGCCTGAAGGCTCAGTATGTCACATGCGTGTTTGCTTGATTCTGTGGCCTGTGAGTCCAGGCCATGAGAATGTATGCCCGTGCACACTAAAAACGAGACCTGTGCTTTCTACAACTCTTGGACCTTCTAAGTAAACAAGGGGAATATTGTCTTTCTTTTCCTTCCACCTCTACCCCAAAGACCTGGACAAGAGTTCACTGCACAGTCTATCCCTGGGCACTCAGGCCAGTCTTCACTCACTCTGCCTCCTAGTAGCTCCTGGAGGCTTGCTTTCTGGAAAACGGATTTGGTAAAGCGTTCTGGAGGAGGAAAAGCTATAAAATATGACAATCACAAGTCTGGAAAGCCATCCAATCAACCAGAAACGTCTGACTCTTGGGTGTATCTATGTGAAAGAGGTACATTGCCAAGTGCCTATTAGTTTAATAACATTTTGAAATTAACTGCCCAAATAGCACATTTTTTAGCCCATTAGGGAAATGTCTAGGTTTTGAGAGTGCAGGTGTTGCACTGTTAAATGAGACTGGAGTGTGCACATGCAGCTCACATCTAGCTGTGTTTTGTGGAATCCTCAGCAAGCTGAGGCAGAGGAAAGAGGCTTTCTATAGGAAGTCAGAGGTGGCGCTACACAAGGGCGTATTGGAAACACTTGGCACCAGTCAAGAAGCCACACCCTTTCATCTGTTGGTAAGTAACTTGGAAGACTGCTGCATAGCACTGGTTCCTTGCATCAAAGCAAAGATTTTGTTCCATGAGACCCTATCATCTTGGGTCCACTTTGGAAATTAAAAGCAAACTTTTTTCCCTGCAGCCAAGTGCTTACTCTGGCCACTCTCAAAAGAAGCAAACTAGTTCTCACCTTTGCTCTTGAAACTCCTGAAGACAGCAGTCTAGTGGCAAAGCATTCACAGTAAGACATTTCAATACCCCAGGTTAAATGTTTGCTTATGAATAGCTCTTTGAACTGAATTGGGTAAAACAATGAGTAGAATTAAGGTGTGGCTTGCTCAAGTTTAAGTCCAGATTGACTCAATAACTGGAGGAATAGCTAAAAAAAAAAATAGGGGCAGAAGGGTGGGTAATGGGAGTACTAGTGACTATTAAACTAGTTATGTGTCTGTTATGTTGATAGCCAGGTGAGGCACGACTTGACAAGATGGATTTCTTTCTGGCAGTGCTGTGCCAAGCATAGAAGTGATGAAAAGTTCTTCCTCAGGAAAACCATGTTCCTTCGTATTGGAGACAGAGCTTGAAGACTGGCGTGAATGAGAAAGTATGATGTAGGAAAGAGGGAGGAATGAGAAAGGATTGGAGAGAAAATGGGAGAGTCTATTGACAGTGGGAGAAATCAGTAGACACTGGAGCCCTTGTGGCTGAAGATTCTGAAGGAGAAGACAAAAGAGAATGTGAAGGCAGTCAGTGTAGAAGCTGAGACCTGGAACGGCTTCTCCAACACCTGTGTGTGTTTTGCTGGATTTGCATATGGGACAGTTTATGTAAACATTTTCTTTATATGCGGAAAGAAAATAAGGGTGTCCACCTGATTGAACTGTGGTAAGGACTGACTGAGATAATGCAGATCTGCAGTGTTTAATGTACAGTAAGCATTCAATAAATAGTCACTACTATTATAAACTGTGTTTAAAAAGGGCTTAAAGGTCACCTATCACTTCCAACACTTGTTACCACTAGACTATTTTCATCAAACGCCCCTCTTGCCTGTGCATTCCCTGTGATAAGAATCTCATTACCTTCAAGTCAGGTGCCATGGCTCACAGCACTTTGGGAGGCTGAGGTGGGAGGATTACTTGAGCCCAGCCTGAGCAAGAGACCAGCCTGAGCAAGAAAGTGAGACCTCACCCCACCCTTGCCCCCCATCCTCTACCAAAAAAAAAGAAAAAGAAAAAAAAAGAAAGTCTCATTACCCCTGAATAGTCTTCTATTTCATAGTTGAACATAGTCAACTATGAAACTATGGAATTTCATTTTCCATAGTTGAAGGTAGAATGTGTCTCACTCCCCTTTTTACCCATTGGTTCTGTTTCTATCCGTGGTGGTCCTCCAAATGTGTAAACCCTATTTCACAAGAAAGCATTCCAAATTCTTTAAAACAAATGACAGATGCTCTGCATGACCTCTTTTGTTGAGGCTAAACATGCCCTGTCCCTTTGGTCTCTCCTCACATGATCTGCTTGCACAATCTTTCCTCATCTCTTACCCTCCAAATTGCCTCTGACCTCCTTAAAATATAAACACACTGCTTCAGCCCAGTCGTCCTAGCAAAACACGTCAGTTCAACGTGCTGCTGTCAGTGTAGCTTTTGAATGGGCAAATCACACTCTTGATATTTATTGGGTTTCCTGAGAACTAAAACTCATGCATCTTCATATGTTACTGTTTCTGCATAACTTTGTGGAGGAGTCCTAGTTTTGCTCTTTAATGTTTTCTTTTCTGTAAAAGGAGAAGATTTGACTAAATAACTAATGAGGTCCATTTAAAAAATATTTGGAAATAATTTCAACGTAAAAAAATAGGAGAAAATGATGTGAAGAAATTCAATATCTGTCTCTCCTAGTTTTCCCAAGTTTTATTGTTTTATATTTGATATATCTCTAGATATAGCTAGCTAGATAGATACTCATGATTAATATTTTTTTTTCTGAATCAGTTAAGAGCAGATACAAACATGCTGTTCCATTGCCCTTAAGTACTTCAGTGTATGTATTTCTCCCAAACGAGGATTCTCTCTTACATAAGCATAATAAAACATTGAGATAACACCATCTACAAATCCATAGAATCTATTCAAATTTTCTCAACTTTCCCCTGAATGTCTGTTTTGCTTTCTCGTCCAGAATCCAGCATAGGATCACGTATTACATTTAGTTGACATGTCCTGTTATTCTCCATTAATCTGCTACAATTTTTCAGTTTTTCCCCAACTTTCATGACCTTGATGGCTTTAAAAACATATACCTTTCATTCTGTAAACTGTTGCTCAACTTGGGTACATCAGCTGTTTCTTCATATCTGATCCAGGCCATACATCCTTGTCAAGAACATCAAAGAAATTACACTTTACCCCTGAGAGTGCATGACATTAGAAGGCACGTGGTATCAGTTTAACAGAACCACCACTATGATGTTAACTTTTAACATCTGGATTAGTGGATACCGGGATTCTCCATTATAAAGTCACCATTTTCCCATTTGTAATTAATAAGTATTTTGCAGAATATGCTCTGAGATTACGCCCATATTCTGTTCACATTGAACCTTCACTCAACTAGTATTGGCGGGCACTGATAACACCTGCCTAAATCAACCACCACTGTGATGGCTGCCAAATGGCAATTTTCCATTTGCACCTTTGTTTTTTGGCATTTATTAGTTGGCATCCTTCCATAAAGAACATCTTGGCCTTCCCTGCACTTATTTACTTATTTTAGTCTAGGCTTATGGTCTTCTAGTCTGTTCTGTGGGTTGCATTCCATTACTTTCATTATTTATTTTGATACCCAAATTGTCCCAGATTTTGCAAGTAAGTATCTCCTCAAGCTGGCTCTTGGGTCCCTCTGACATATTCCCGTTGTTCTTTGAGCAACCGCTAATTTTCTGGCACATCAAGATGTTCCAGGTTCATTTTGTACTGTCCCTGCCCCTGCCCTGAAATCAGCCCACTCTCCAAAGAGGCCTGGTTCCTCTCAGTGGAGGATGGCATTTAAACACCAGATCTGGGCCCGTGGTTGGCTACTACTACTGGGGTGTCAGACTTTTAGGCCCTTTCGGTGGACACAGGAAATAGATGATACAGGGTCACACACAACCACACATACACATTTATGTTTGTTACTATATGTGTGGATATCTGTATCTATATCCATCTATAAATATATATGTACCTCTATATCTCTATAACTATCTCTATATTGTGGATTCTCATCAATACCTTCCATTCCAAGCCAACACATCAGGATTCTTTTTAGCCCTTCTCCTTTCTATATTTGTAAATCTCTTCCCTAACAGAGAGAAACCTGACTCCCATTATCTTGAGTATATTGACTTATTTGCTCCATCTGGACTTACATAACAGTCTCTGATGACATCAGCTACCTCCTCATTCTTGCCCCAATTGCTGCACCTTTGATCCTCCTGCCCCCAGGCTTTTGGCTCCACCACAGCCTCTGCGACATGTCTCCTTGGCCCCTGGTTCTGCTGCTGCCTCCTCAGCTTCTGACCACACCCACTCAGTAAAATGACTTTGCTGCCCTTGCAGTTGTTCAGGTCAAAATCCTGAAATTATCCTTCATAATATTCTTTCTCTCACATCTTGTATCCAATCTATAGCAAATTCTGTTTGCTCTACCTTCAGATAGGTCCTGAATTCAACCCTTTCTACCATCTCCACCATGACTTCCCTGGCTCTGGCCAACATCACCC